GATATTTATTATTCATTATGAATTTGTACCAACTGGACAAACAGTTAACCAAGTTTACTATTTGGAAGTGCTGAAAAGGCTGCATGAAAAAGTTAGGCGACCTGAACTTTTTGCCAACAATTCATGCTTCTTGCATCACAACAATGCACCAGTTCGCAGGGCACTGTCTGTGAGGGAGTTTTTAGCCAGTAAACAAATAATTGTATTGGGACACCCTCCCTACTCACTTGATCTGGCCCCCAATGGCTTCTTTCTTTACCTGAAGATAAAGGAAATATTGAAAGAAAGACATTTTTATGACATTCAGAACATCAACGGCAGCTCTGATGCTATTCCAGAAAAAGAGTTCCAAAATTGCTTTGAAGGGTGGACTAGGTGCTAGCATTGGTGCATAGCTTCCCAAGGGGAGTGTACTTTGAAGGTAACTGTAGTGATTTTCAGCAATGAGGTATGTAGCACTTTTTCTAGATGAGTTGGCGAACTTAATTATCAACCAAATTGAACTACAGTTGACCCCTGAACAATACAGGGGTTAAGGGCACTGACCCCCTGCACAGTTGAAAATCTGACTATAACTTTGACTCCCTGAAAACTTTAGTCATCCTTTGGTATCCATGGGGGACTGGTTTCAGGAACCCCCCAGATACCAAAATCCTTGGATCCTTAAGTCCCTTATATAAAATGGTGAAGAACGATGCATACAGTTAGCCATCTGCATCTGCAGATTCCCAACTGCAGATCAAAAATACTGTTTTCAACCCATGGTTGGTTGAATCTGCAGATGCAAAACCTGGGGATACGGAGAGTTGACTGTGTATTTATTGAAAAAAAAATCCATTTATAAGTGGACCTGTGCAGTTCAATCCCGTGTTGTTCAAAGGTCAACTGTAATTCATTTACACAGAACCTGGCACAGAATGAGAACATGAAAAATATTATCTCTTCTTTCTGAAGGTAGAGGGCTCAGAGACAGTAACATTTAAGAGGCTTTGAGGGATTGGCAGGGAAGGTGGGGGGTGGGGGTGGGGGTCCCAGAAGTGTGTGGCACAGATACCCAGGGAAGCAGGCATTGCTGGGGGAAGGAAATGGCCAAGGGTGGCAAATGCTGCCAAGATGACAAGTCAGAGCAGAGATTCTGGGATGAAGAGGTCACTGATGATCTTGAAATAGTTTCAGGAGACTGACAGGGACAGAAGCCAGCAAGCCCTAAATCAGGGAAGGAGTGAGAGGTGAGAAAGGAGTGAAAGCGGGCGGACAGCTCTTGGGAGGAGTGGCTGAGAGGGAGGGAGAGATGCAGAGAGGTTCCAAGGACAACTGGAGGCATGGGGCCTTTTATTGTTAACCCAGGAAACCCTGAGCTTATTTAAATGCTGATGAATAGTAGCGACTGCAACCCCTAGAATAAAAGAAGCCATGAGCCTATGCTGATATTCATTAGTTAATAAGTAAATAAATAAGTAAATAAATGGAAGAGAAGGAAAAAAACTCTTCCTTACAGTAAAATGGTACCTAATAAAGGTAAAGGGTATGGTGAAATTGGAAAACTACTATTTGTCAACTACCATAGTAATAATCAATCGCTCTAGGCAAGAATCAACAATGGATGCTAACCCCAGAGGGCGAGCAAGATATTTACATAGTCTCGAAGCGTCTCCTGAGTTAAAAATAAAATGTCCCAAGCCTCTCAGTTATCCTGGAGCTTCCCTGCATCTCTCCCCCACCTCCCCTAGCCTCAGCCACTCCTAAGAGCTGTCTGCCCTCTCTCACTCCTTTCTCACAAAATATTAAAGGGAATGACAGCATCTTTACAGTGGAGACCCTGGTAAACACCACCTTAGCCATGTGAGCCAAGCTAACACCAACAGTAATGGGAAGAACCAACATCGCGTGCCTCCTGATACAATGCACTGACAACACATCACTTCTACGATATTCCTGCCAAAGATGCATGACCTGAATTATTGAATCATGATGAAAGCTCAGACTAACCCACACTGAGGGGCATTCTAGAAGACAACTGGCCTCTGTTCTTCAAAAATGTCAAGCTCATGAAAGACAAACACAGGCCAAAAAAGTGTTCTGGATTGAAGGAAGCTAAAGAGACTGGATGCCTGAATACAATCCCTGATTTTGGGGTTGGATCCTTGACTGGGAAGAAATACATCTTGAAAATTGAATAAGCTTTGTAGATAGCAGCATTACAGCAGTGTTAATTTCCCAGTCTGCATAAATATTCCGTGGTTATATAAAGAATGAACATGTTCTCAGGAGATACACATTGAAGTATTTAGAGGTAAAAGTGAATCATGTTGGAGCAAATGTGGTAAAAAGTTAATATTTGGGCAATCTAGGAGAAGGGTATTCAGAAATTCTATATACTGTTTTTGTAACTTCTCTATAAGCCACAAGGTTATTATCACCCCTAAGCAAAAACAAAATGAAAAATATCTAGTTATTTAAATCATTAAGTATGTAGTCGGTGTTCAAATTCCAAATTTCATAAATATCACATATAATTTTTTGCAACTTCTTTGAACCAGGGTCCAAACAAGGCTCACCCATTGCAATTGGTTGATATTTCTTCAAACCTCCTTTGAAATAACTCCTTTGAAGTATACCTTCAAAGGAGTTATTTCAAAAGAAAAGTTAACAAAATGGTGATGAATGGAAACAATCTGGCAGTAACAATAGCACAGGCGTATCTTGCTTTATTGCGCTTCACAGATACTGTGATTTTTACAAACTGAAGGTAAGATTCTCCACCAGCAAAAAGATTATGACTTGCTGAAGGCTTAGACAATGTTTAGCTATTTTTAGCAATAAAGTATTTTAAAAATAAGGTATGTACATTGTTTTTTAATGCTATTGCACACTTAATAGACTACAGTACAATGTAAACATAACTTTTATATGCACTGGGAAACCAAAAAGGGTGTGTGACTCGCTTTATTGCGATCTTCACTTCATTGCGATGGTCTGGAACCAAACCTGCAATATCTCCAAGGTATGTCTGTAAACATAATAGCTAAGATCTCTGGAGTGCTCCTGGCACTGTCCACCCTCCCAGTAGTCCTGGGAGATAGTGAATGTTATTATCCTAGTCTCATTTCACAGGGAAGGAAACTGAAGCTCAGAGCAGACGAGTGACTTACCTGGAGTTACATGGGGAGAGAGGGGAGAGCTGGGGTATAAAGGCTGACAGAGGCAGATGAGTGGGTTTGTGGATCAAGCTGGTTCCTGAATTTCCCTTCTAGCAGCCTTGCTGTATAGACCTGCCATGGTCATTGGTGACTGCCTCTCCTATTAGACGATAAGCCTCATGAAGGCAGGGCTATGTCTGTCTCGGTCATTGCTGTGTCCGTGGTACCATGACAGGCCCAACAGAGGAGAAAGCCAGTAGATGTTTATCAACTAAATAACTGATCTCTATTTATAATACTGATAATATTACAGCTATTAACAATTATGATAGAAATAATTGTTCTCGTTTGTGTTAATGCCTTTCATCTTCAAAACAACCCCAAGGACTGTTTTATCCCATTTCACAGATAAAGAAACTGAAGCTCACAGAGAAGTTTCTTGCTCAAGGCAGGCAGCCAGGAGGGGTATGACTGTTACTTGGCACCCCCTCCCCCCCATCTACCTTCCAGCACCCACCTTCTGGAAGTCCTTCTTGGAGATGAGGCCACGGGGATCAGTGACGTAGTCCTGAAAGGCCTCCGAGCCCACGATGTCCTTGAGTTTCAGGAACATGTCAAAGAACTTGAGGATCATCTCCACGTTGGATGAAGATTCCACGAGCATGTCTACCATCTGCCGGGCAATCATGCCATTCACCACGTTCCCTGTGGGCAGCCCCAGGTCAGTGCAGTCTGGCAGAGCCTCCTTTCTGGGGTCCCATGGCTCTTCAGCTCAAGAGCCACCCATGGTTCCCCAGGATCGGCTGTGCTGGTGGAAGCTTCCCCAGCCAGCTCCCAAGCCTCCCCTTAAAGGGCACGGGGTTACTCCTTGATCTGCATTAGCATCAGTGTGAACCTGGCTGATCCTGTATTTGTTCACCTCCCCCGACAGCTGGAGTAGTCACCAGTAAAGATAACGATGGCAAAAGCTAATGGCAGGTGACAGATGCCATGCCAAGTCCTGTGCTGGCACGATCTCATCCTTGTAAGGGAGGTGTGCTACTCTCCTTTTTTACAAATGAGGAAATCGAGACTCAGAGAGTCACACACTCAGGGTTACATAGCCAGTAAGTCACACACTCAGGGTTACATAGCCAGTTAAGAGGAAGATTTGAACCCAGGGATGCACGACCTCAGAGCTCACACCTAAGCCTTCCACTAGCCCACAGAGGCCAAACAGGTCCACCGGTGAGTGAGGCAGNACTGAAAGTTTTGGGGGGAGCTTAGTTAAGTATCGACTGCCATTAGCCCATATGAAGACTTTGTGTGGGTTAGAAAAAGGCACTCCTTCCTCACTTCTATCTGTTGAAAATTTGTCATAATATACTGCTGTTTTCCTATAATATAGTGATTTTGTTTGAGTAAGACACTTTCTTCTAGAAAAGCCAAAATCCATTATTGCTTGTGATGTGAACCCTTCAGAGGAGATGGACCTGTGAAGTGCTCAGCTGCCCAATGATACATGGTGGCTCGGCCATCCTAATAAAGTGACATTGAAAGATCAGTGGCGGGGCTCCCCTAGGACACAGAGGGTCTCTTTTGAGGAACAGAGAGGTTGCTGGGGGCAGGGGAGTAGAGGGTTCCTTTTCTAAGACCTAGGAAGGGTCCTCACCTCTTTTCAGTCAGGGCAGTACGGCTAAAGTGCAGGACCAGCTGATGCAGGGGGTCTGGCTTCTTCTCCTCCACTTCCTCCTCCTCTTCCTCCTGCTCCCCAGCTTTCTGGAGGGAGGGGTGGCAGTTGGGGGAGGGGCTTCTAGAGTCCCCTCCTGTCTACCCCATATCCTTGGTGGGCTGGATTTTCTTCTCTTCCCTCACATCCTTCACCCTCCCCTCGTTCTGCCCAAGCCAGGAGCCGCCTTTCCCATACCCCTCAATGTGAAGGGTGACCCCTGGAGGTGTGCAACGGGCAGCCTTGGCCCCAGTGCTACCCAGCTATGCCCCCACACTCCCAGGCAGGCCCCAGCTCACTGAAAGGTCATCTATCATGCGGTCCTCAAAACTGTGGTCTTCAGTCAGGATCCATGTGGACTTGTAGCTCTCCAGGAACATGTTACATGCCCGGTGCCTGCAAGGGGAGGGTGTGGGGCGACAGTGGGACCTTCTCTCCACACTTCCTCTGACTTCCCCCAACTGCCTCTGCATCTGCCTCCCTCAACTAAATCCTCAAGGCCCCACCCTGTTGGCACTCCATCCTCCTGCCTCTTCAGCCACCCTTTCTCTAAGGCCCCTTTAGCTCCCCTCCTCTCTGGGGGTCTTACGTGGGCAGGTTGTACAGGGGGGTCATGCGGAAACAGGCAACAACCGCTCTCCGGCGCTGCTTGGACAAGAGTTTGTGCCACACAGCCTTCTTGGACTTGTAAGGGTGCTCGACCTTGGGGCGGGACAATCTGTTATGTCCCCTGACAATGCCTCGGCATGATTCCCACTTCCAGCTCCGAGTGAAACTGCCCATTTGTGCCCCGGTCCAAATTGAGGCCGGCTCACAGGACCGAAGGAACACGTTAGCTCCACCAACACAGTCCAAGTTCTGACGTGGGCTCTGCTTCCAGACCGAAATTTCTCTCCTATGCCTGGCTCACAGACCCAGGGCCACTACCCAGGCCCCGCCCCAATCCCAAGGCCCACCCAAGGCCCTGCCCACAGAGACAAGGAGTCTCCACCAAGCCCCATTCCCAGACCCAGAGTTCTGTCCCTGATCCTGGATCGAGCACCAGGTCGTGCCCCCAATCCACGTTTCCATTCTAAGCCTCGATTTAAACTCCAGTCTCCACCCACAGGCCCAAGGCCCGCCTCTTGCCCCGCCCAGAGACCCAAGCTTTGGCCACTCAGCAGTAAGACCCCTCCGGCCTCGCCCACCAGCTCCAGATGGTAGAGCACTGCAGACACTTCCTGGACTCTACGCACGATCTTCTCAGGGTCGTCGGTGTCCTCCTCACGACCCGGGACTTCCCGGTACAGGGCCATCTGCCAGCGCAGAGAAGGAGAGCCTTCGACCTAAAAGGAGCAAGGACGGCCGGCGGGCATGAGGACCTCTCCCCTGCTTGCTCCCTCTCCCTCAGCTGAGCTTCTGGGGGGAAAGGTGAGGGTCAGGCTCGGCGAGGTGTGGCTTCTCCAGCTGCCCCGCCCCGCAATGCTGTGGGGATTCTATGGCAAGCGCCAACAAATAAATCCTTTCGATGCCTGGTATACAGTAAGTGCTCAAACGGTGCCTATTAGTGTTGCTATTATCCTGATGTGCCCAGATGCAGATTAAGGAGGCATACCTTTCCCTGAAGGTGAAGGTTGTTTTGCAGAAATTCCCGGACCTCCTCATCGGTGTCTTTCTGGGGAAACATGGCCAGGCTGGGTCACTCTGGAGGGCTCAGTGTCCTCCTTGACCCACAACCTTTCCCTTCTAGGCCTGTCACCCCATCAGCTGGTGAGAGATTTGTGTGGGGATGAGCTGAGAGAAACTGAAAGGATCTGAAAGTCAGGAGTGGTCAGAGGGAAGTCTTAGAGGCCACAGAGGCACCTTGAAGATACAGCGAGGAATTAGAGGGACCTCGTGGGGGTGTGAGAGGAGGTAGTAAGTGACACGAGGATAACCTTAAAGGTCAAATAAACCACAGAGGGATTGTCAGAAATCAGAGGAGGGTCAGAGTGGGGCTGTGAGTAAGTGGGAGATGGGCAGGAAGTTTCTGAAGATCGGGGGGGGGGGTTCTAAGGGAGATGGCCAGGCCAGCAGAGGTCATGGGGATCAGGCAGATCAACCAAGTCACTGGCGGGGTTGACACGGAGGNGTGATGGTTATTTGGTGGTTTATTAGACTATTCTCTCTCTACTTCAGTGTGTGGTTGAGAAGTTTGGGAAGAATAATAATAATTTAAAAACACTGTTCATGGGTGGCAGGGGTGGTGGTGGGGGATAGTGGGCAGAATGATCAGGGTTATGGGAATAGCCCAGGAGGCTGGAGGAGCCAGTGGAGATGCCTGGCCCAGCCTGGGTGATCAGAGAAGGCTCCCTGGAGGAGGGGACCTCTGAGCTGAGACCTGAAAGGTAAGTAGGAGGTGGCTGCATTAATTCCCAGCTATGACCTCAGGCAAGTTATTGAACCTTTCTGTGTGGCACAGATTTGCCTCAGTTTCTCCATATATAACATGGTGGTCACAGTAGACTCGATAGAGCTGTTGTGAGGTTTTAATGCTTTAGCATACATAAAGGTTTAGGACAGCACCTGGTACATAAGTGCTCAATGAACGTTAGCTGTTCTTAAAGGGCCTTAAAGAGAGTGCTGAGGTTAAGAGCTGCACTTTGGAGTGGTGAGTCTCAAAGTGTGGCCCCACACCAGCAACATCAGCATCTCTTGGGACCCTGTTAGAAATTCACATTCCTGGGCTCCACCCCAGAACTACTAAATCAGAAATTCTGGGGTCAGTCCTAGAAGTCTATATTTTCACTAGGCCTCCAGGTGATTCTTAGGCACACTTAAGTTTGAGAACCACCTCTGTATACCCATTTGCCAAATGATCAATTCATCATATTATCAAGGCAACAAACATGGGCTGCAGTGAAGTCCTTTTAATGTTTATAGCGATGTCATGTTGCACAGAATGGCTTTAACAGCCCTTGAAAGTTTTTTTCCCCCAAAGTCTTCCTTTCCTTCTGACTTTGCTATAGTCACTTCACAACTGATGTATCAGGCTGAATGTCCATTTTGCCTGGTTTCACATTATAAACAAATATTCAAGATTTTATAAGCAAATGTACAGGTTTTCTCATCAACTCTGTTTTCTAACTCCTTTGTGTTCATTTAAATTAGACAATATGCCTAAATGGTTAGATACACAGCTCCCCACTCTTGTAAAGAACTCTTTTAATTGAGAATACTGTCACAGACATGGGCAAATAAAAAGGGACAAACCTGTCTGCTTTGAAAACTCAAGACATGCAAGGCGTCTGAGATTTGAAAGATATTTTAAATATTTATTTGATTGGGTTGGTTCATGAATCCATGAATTTAGGCAGAGGACTGGATTGCAAAATTGTTGGGAGAAATCGCACCCATAAGAATGTTCTCATTTCCAAAAAGTCATAGACCCACAAAATAAAATTCATGTTAAACCCGAAGTCTGATTCCACCTTAGTTAAAATTCAAAAAAGGGAACTCTAACCACGAGGCACAAAGGTATTTAGTAAACCTTGAAGAAAAACTAGTCATGGACATGAGCTTTTGAGAATGTAAAGCAATAAGATTGTTTTATTTGTTGAAAAGAGTGGAGATTAGAGGTAATTACAAATCAGTTACCTTAAAGAATACTAGCCAAGTGGGGTGCAGCTTCTATGGAAGTTAAATTTATAATTACTCCCAGTCTTGTCATGAAGGCTAATTTCTGGGCAGTCTCGTTTCATAATCACCTGCTAAGCATTACAACCACAACCTTGACACTGAAATGGCATTGGGTAAAATATTTGTTGGACAGAATTTGGGCTTCCCTTTACTTTTGTAAGCTATGTGTGCCATACGGGTTATATTTTCTCACCAATGATGTGCTTAATTTACTTGACGTGTCACCATTGATCTAGTTAAGTTGCCTGAACCAGAACAAATGTTGTGAAAACTCTTGTTTAAGTGAGGAGAGCATCTATAGACCTTCCTCCTAGCAAAGTACTTTATAAGCAAAATTAATGTGATTCTAATTGATTCATTTAAAAATGGTGTATGACTTTTTTCCCGAAGTATGGAAATCCACCACATTTACTCACTTTCAAAATGCCTATGGAAAAATGACATGTGGCTAATTGCTTATGTGGACAAGTTGATTTTTGGCCAAATTGTTTTTTGACAGATTGCTTTTGGGGAATTGGACTGGCCACAGCAAGTGAAAGTGAAGCAAAGTGGCTAGATTCCAGAAATTCAAGAGAGATTTAGGAAGGTGGGTAGATTGGGTTTGACCCTGGCTGAAAGTAAAGGATGAAGGACAATGGGGTCATGGATGGGTGGTGAGGCCATCATTGATAAGGGGAGGAGGGGACTATAGATTAACTCAGGAAACACTTTCATACTGACCCCAAACCTCTGCTTCCTCTCCACCCCACCCACCCCTCCTCCTCACCATTATTATGCCCCTCGCAGAGCAATTGCAGGAATCTGAACAGGTCTTGAGTGAATTCATCATCTGCCATGACCTTTTCTCCTGGGTGGAAGAGCGGGGCAGGGCCCAGAAGGGGTCAGATGTTCCAGGACGCAGTCCATGCATGCACATAGCCCATGCACACTGCACACGCATGCACAAAGCATAGGAGCACTGAGAGAAGCAGCCACCACTTCAAAGACACTGTGACACAAGGGAGTCCCAATCTCAGAATCATCCTTGACACAAAGCGGTCCCGATCTCAGAATCCATGACATCAGCAGATGGAGACCTGAGGGGCCCTGAGTCATAAAGCTGGGGCCTCAAGTGTCTTTCTACATACTCTGATGTCACCACTTATGTGAAGTCCAGGAGTGTCTGCCAGATCCAGCAGAGGTTCAAGTAGCTGGTATTTCCCTCAGCCCTCCCTCCAAGGCCATGGGGTTAATGGATTATAGGGTTGGGGTTTGGGCCACTTTCAGGCTAAGGTTCAGAGCAGGATGGGATGGGACTGAAAGCCAGCCAATTGGCTCAGAGGCACTGAAGGCAGCCATTCCGGGAGGAGCAGAGGAGGAGGCCTTATAAACATGGGCAAATCAGAACAGGCATATGAAAGAAGCCAATCATTGACGGTTGCAGGGGAGCAGAGAGGGGAGGCTAGACAGTGAAATGGGCCAACCAGAGCAGGTGCAGAGGAAGCACGCACACCAATCAGAATGGAAGCTGGGGGCAACCAATCCGCTTGGTGGATGGGAACTGCAGACCCAACCAATCCGGGGTCATGGTGCAGAGAGCCGGGTAGGTGGGAGTGGGGATCACCCCACCCCGGGGACTGTGAATCTGGGTCTTTAAGTCTGAGAGCATCCATCTGGAAAGGAGTCTTTGCCATCTTCTCTAGCTTCTACTTTACATATGGGGAAACTGAGGCCAATGGAAGGTAAGTGACTTGTTCATAGTCCCAGGTGTTGTTGTTGGTAATCTGGGACCCAAATCTTGGTCTCTGGACCCTGATCTCAAGACTTTCTGTGGGCATGTTGACCCACTGAAGGGTTCCTCCTTCCCTGGATGTCCCAGATCCTCAGCCCCCAGGTGGAGCGGGTGGTGGGGGTTAGAAGGGAGGGGTGGCGGAGTAGCACAGCAAGGGGAATGGGTGGGGGAATTACCGTTCTGGCGGTTGATGACTGGGGCAGCCAACAGGATGGGAGGAGGAAGCAGGAGAAAAGAGGGAAAAGAGAGACAGAAGGAGACAGACAGAGAAACACACACGGTGACACACGGTCAGGGATGAAGACATAGACATGGAGAAAGAAACAACTCACACAGAAAGACAGAGTGATAAGGAGACAGAAGGAAGCCAGGAAAAGAGTAGGAAATGACGGTAAAAGCATTGGGGAAAAAAAGAAGGAAGAGAAAGAGATGGAAAGGTAGAGGTGGAGAGGCAGGAGGCGATGATCAGGGCAGAAAGGTTAGACACATCACAACACAGCAAAGAGGAGACGTGATTAACCCGTATTAGGGACATTAATGAAAGAACAGCAATCAGGGCTGGAGACTTGGGGCATGTGGAGGGTGGGGCCCATGTGGTGATAGATGAGAGAACACAGGACAAAAAGGACACCCATGGGTGGGGACCATGGGGAGGAAGACCCTGGAGAAATGGGGGCGGGGGCAAGACTGGGGACCACTGCACAGGGCAGGGGAGGGGGTTGCTCTTGGGAAGGGACTGTCTTGGAGGAGGAGAGCTCTGGGCAGTGTTGGGGGAGGGGGTGGATCCTGAAGGAAGGGGATGCCCCAGGGAGAGGGGAGCCCAGAAGAGATCCTCACCAGTTCCATCCTCATTCACCATGCCCAGCCCCTCTGCCTTGTTCTGTCTCTCGAATGCATTGAGATCCAGGACACTGAGGGAAAGACAGGAAAGACAGAAAGATGTGCTGAAGCTTCTGCCCTTCTCTTCCAGGGCCCTTCAGTCCCCCACGGTGGTAGGTGGAGAGCCATAATAAACCATGAATGAGCAGAGATCAAGAGGAAGCACAAATTAAGAGTTGGCAGAAGCTATATGGTGGCAGCTACGCGGGGCAAGGATGCAATATATACAAATTGCAATCAGGAGGGTACAGAAACCATCAATTAGTGAAAGCTCCAGAGAAAGTCAGTCAACAGCATGAGGAGACCAAAGATAGATAGTCGTAGAGTCACATTAATAGGGGTCGTCATGAATTCCCTGCTGCTGGGCGCCCCTTGAATTCACAACAACCCTCTGGTTCCAGCTGCCTGGATCCATAATACGACTCATTTTTAACTCCTGTGGCATTATACCTCCCTCTTATAATAAACTCCCTGTCATTTGAGCTGGTCTGAGTGGGTCCCTGTGCCTGGAACCAAGAGAGTGGAACTAGAATCGGAAGTGGTACCGGGAGTGGGGGCATAACTACACCAAACAGCTTCGCTAAAAGAAATAGACTGCAGCCTACCTGCATGTCTGCATCAGCGCCTGGATACTCTGGAAAAAGCCAACTTCCTTCTTGTCCTTCAGATAATCCAGCATTTTCTGCAGAGGGGACAGGAGGGGAAAGGAAACTGGGAGTCACAGAGGAACCTCCCACCCGTCTTAGCCTTCCTCCCTAGTCGCTTTTCCTGTTACCTGCTGCACATCAGCATTGCCCCCATTTAGGATGGAGATGCCCAGCTTCAGGGTGGAGGACACCATGGCACCCGTCTCTCCTGGAGAGGGGTCAAAAGATGGTCTGCTCAGTTTGGGAGCAGCATTCTCCACCCACCAGAAAAACAGCCATCCCAGAGGATGGGAGAGAAGGAGTGGAGGAGCGTGCAAGGGCGATCGTGACTGAAAGATGCGTGAGAAATCGCAAGGCAAGTGGAACATGCAAGGGCTAGAGTGTGCACACCACAGGCATGCAGGGGTGGGAGAATGTGCCACTGGGACCACAGGAAACGGGGGTGGGGGGTGCTGGGGTGAGTGAAGGCAGGATGAATGCNTTTTTTTTTAGATTCCTGATATAAGTGATACTATGAGGTATTTGTCTTTCTCTAACTGGCTTATTTCACTTAGCAGAATGCTCTCCAGGTTCATTCATGTTGCCGCAAATGTTGGGATTTCCCTTTTTTAAAGGCTGAATAATAGTCCTTTTTTTTTTTAGCTGAGCCATCCTGCCACCTGTTGGCAGCTCAGCAGCAGCTCAGCTCGTGCCAGGAATCAAACTGGCAACCCTGTTGCTCAGAGCTCGCACTCTTGAGCGAGTTCTTAACCAACTGAGCCACTCGGCCGGCCCAATAATAGTCCATTTTACACACACACACACACACACACACACACACACACACACACACAGGTACCACATCTTCTTTATCCATTCATCTATTGACAGACACTTAGGTTGTTTCCATATCTTGGCTATTGTGAGTAATGCTGCAATAAACATGGGAATGTAGATATCTCTTTGAGATAATGGTTTCATTTCCTTTGGATAAATACCCAGAAGTGGAATTGCTGGATCATATACTAGTTCTATTTTTAATTTCTTGAGGCACCTCCGTACTGTTTACCACAGTGGCTGCACCAATTTACAGTCCCACTAACATGGACAAAGTTTCCCTTTTCTCCACATCCTCGCCAACATTTATCTCTTGTCTTTTTGATAATAGCCATCCTAATAGGTGATATCTCACTGTGTTTTTGACTGGCATTTCCCTGATGACTAGCGATGTTGAGCATCTTTTCATGTACCTGTTGCCCATCTGTATGTCTTCTTTGGGAAAATGTCTATTCAGGTCTTTTGCCCATTTTAAAATTTGGTTATTGGTTTTATTGCTTTTGAGCTGTATGAATACCTTGTATATTTTAGATATTAACCCCTCATCAGATATGTGGTTTACAAATATTTTCTCCCATCCCATAGGCAGCTTTTTCATTTTATTGACGGTTTCCTTCGCTGAGCAAAATCATTTTAAAATTATGAATGATGTGCACTTTAGCTCCAGCATACAGCTAAGTACTTTTAAGTACTATGCTACTCCAGCATAGAGTACTTTTTTCGTTCTCTTACAGCCCTCACTGAGACTCTCTCCCTAAACCTGCCAGTCTTGAGAGTAGGCCTGGGGCTCCCAGCTAGGGGCTGGCACCCAGGAGGTGCTCACTGACTATTTATTGGGCTAGATAAATAGATGAATCTGGAGGCAGTGTACTCTGGAGCTGGACTGCCTGAGTTCTAATCTCAGCTTTGCTTCTTATTAGCTGTATGACCTTAAGCACATCACTTCACCCCTTTGTGCCTCAGTTTCCACTTCTGTAAAATAGTAATAAAAAACAGTCCTTACCACATATGAGGTCTGACAATTAAGTTTGTGAACTTGTTGTAATGATGTTGCTAATCTTTTTTGATATCAGAGATATTTATTATTCATTATGAATTTGTACCAACTGGACAAACAGTTAACCAAGTTTACTATTTGGAAGTGCTGAAAAGGCTGCATGAAAAAGTTAGGCGACCTGAACTTTTTGCCAACAATTCATGCTTCTTGCATCACAACAATGCACCAGTTTGCAGGGCACTGTCTGTGAGGGAGTTTTTAGCCAGTAAACAAATAATTGTATTGGGACACCCTCCCTACTCACTTGATCTGGCCCCCAATGGCTTCTTTCTTTACCTGAAGATAAAGGAAATATTGAAAGAAAGACATTTTTATGACATTCAGAACATCAACGGCAGCTCTGATGCTATTCCAGAAAAAGAGTTCCAAAATTGCTTTGAAGGGTGGACTAGGTGCTAGCATTGGTGCATAGCTTCCCAAGGGGAGTGTACTTTGAAGGTAACTGTAGTGATTTTCAGCAATGAGGTATGTAGCACTTTTTCTAGATGAGTTGGCGAACTTAATTATCAACCAAATTGAACTACAGTTGACCCCTGAACAATACAGGGGTTAAGGGCACTGACCCCCTGCACAGTTGAAAATCTGACTATAACTTTGACTCCCTGAAAACTTTAGTCATCCTTTGGTATCCATGGGGGACTGGTTTCAGGAACCCCCCAGATACCAAAATCCTTGGATCCTTAAGTCCCTTATATAAAATGGTGAAGAACGATGCATACAGTTAGCCATCTGCATCTGCAGATTCCCAACTGCAGATCAAAAATACTGTTTTCAACCCATGGTTGGTTGAATCTGCAGATGCAAAACCTGGGGATACGGAGAGTTGACTGTGTATTTATTGAAAAAAAAATCCATTTATAAGTGGACCTGTGCAGTTCAATCCCGTGTTGTTCAAAGGTCAACTGTAATTCATTTACACAGAACCTGGCACAGAATGAGAACATGAAAAATATTATCTCTTCTTTCTGAAGGTAGAGGGCTCAGAGACAGTAACATTTAAGAGGCTTTGAGGGATTGGCAGGGAAGGTGGGGGGTGGGGGTGGGGGTCCCAGAAGTGTGTGGCACAGATACCCAGGGAAGCAGGCATTGCTGGGGGAAGGAAATGGCCAAGGGTGGCAAATGCTGCCAAGATGACAAGTCAGAGCAGAGATTCTGGGATGAAGAGGTCACTGATGATCTTGAAATAGTTTCAGGAGACTGACAGGGACAGAAGCCAGCAAGCCCTAAATCAGGGAAGGAGTGAGAGGTGAGAAAGGAGTGAAAGCGGGCGGACAGCTCTTGGGAGGAGTGGCTGAGAG